GACCAAACAGGAAAAAGGAACTCCAAAACAAAGCTTAAAAGGTAGGAAAGAAGGATGAATGGGAATAGGGAGCCCCAAAAGGGAATGGAAAGAGCTTTGATACACTGAGTTTTTTGATACACTGAGTTGATACACTGATATTGCAACCAATATCAAGAAACAAGATGTATATAAATTGAAGGGAAACTAATTTCCTCTGTAAACTTTCACCCAAACTATAAAAATGAGTTGAAAAAAATCAGACAATAACTAGTGTTGGTGAGACTGGAAAAATCAGAACGCCTCCATATAATTGATAGGAATGTCAAATTGTGCAGCTGAGTTACCATATGATCCAGGAATTTTAGTCTTATTTACTTATATTCTCAAAAAAACACAAAAAACAACCAAACAAAAACCAATCAAATGCAATTATAAAATTTAAAAATATTAATAATTAAATAAAAAGTGCACTCAAGACTGGGTCTGTGTCCTAACTGGTTGAGCATCTGCCCCATGCCTCCTGGTAAGACTCCAGCAGAACTCAACAAATGTCATTTCAAATGGAGCATGCCATGGAAATGATGATGCTCATGTTGCACAGATTTTCTGGCGATAAATGCTACATACTGAAGGAGAGTATTTACGGAAAAGGAGTCCCCTGGAATTTTGGAGAATCAAAAAGACCCTCTGGCCATGGACAAAATAATGAAGGACCTGGACGAGCGCCAAAATGGCAAAGTGGACTTCCAGTGCTTTCTTTCGCTTATTGCTGGGCACACTATTTCATGCAAAGTCCATTTTGTAGTACACATTTTGTAGTAGCAGAAGTGAAAGAAGTAGAAGTGGGCAGAATTGAGAAATCATTCCCACCCTGATAAACATTACCCCAAAGTGCTGCCCCACAGCTGCACCCTGTGTAAGGATATAACAAGAAGATCAGGACCCTTTAGAATATGTACAAATAAAATCCAACTTCCATTTCGCAAACAGAGAAAGAAAAGTCAATGCAAAAAATAGATAGGTTTTTTACTTTTGGATTGTTTGAACCCTCTTGCCCTCAAAAAAAAAATTTTGAATACCTAAAAAAAAAAAAAAAAGTTAAAAGGATGGATTTAATTAGTACATTCAAGGTAGAATGAATTTGTGAATTCAGGCACATATTAAAAATGAAGAAAAGAATGAATATAAACTTAAGGATCATGAGACAATATAAAAATACTCAAAATTCCGAACATCAGATTACCAAAAGCAAAGAAAAACATTGGTCCTGAAAGAGTATTCAAGAAGCAATGTATGAAAAATTCCAAATTAGGCAGAAGGTATAAACCTACAAATTCAATAAGCAAACTCCAAATAAAACAAAGCCAAAGAAATTAATAGCAAATATTACTTAATTAGTCAAAACTTTTTGAAACAAATAAAAATTATAATATTGGAATTTTTTTTTATCGTTTTGTTTTTCAAAAAAGACAAATTTATAGGTGAAAACCAGTTTGAATGACAGATTTCTAAATTGAAATTATGGAGGCCAAAATGAACCAGATTATTTTTCAAGTGTTAAATGATAAAACCTGGCAACCACAAATTATGTCTATAACCCTAATCCTATTCTTTAGAAGTGATTGTTGTTGCTGTTGTTAAGTGCTGTCAGTTCAGTTCTGACTCATAATGATCCTGTACAGGGTTTTCAAAATCGCAAATATTTTCAGAAGCAGAAAGCCTCATCTTTCTCCCATGGAGCAGCTGATGATCTTGAACCATTGCCCTTATGGTTTGCAGTCCAGTGCTTATCCTACAAAGCCAACACACTAATTAGTAATTAATAGGAAACAGAAAAAATAATAAAAAATCGTTGTAACAGACCTACCTTTAAAAGACTAGCTAAAGGAACTTGCTAAAACAAAAAGAAAATGATAAAATCATATTTAATGGTGAAAGATTGTATGATTTTACTCCCCTAAGATTGAGAACAAGGAAGAGTGTTTGGTTTCATGATCTACTTACAAAAGTCAATTGCATTTCTTTGATACTAGCAATAAACATGTAGAAACCAAAATTTAAAACACAGCACTATTTACATATGTTTTTAACAAGCATGTGTATGCTAATGATGGAAATCTAAGACCCAAGTAACTGGAGAAGCATACTGTGTTCATGGATTGGAAGGCACATATAGTAAAGATGTTAGTTCTCCCCAAAATTTGGATATGAATTTATAATTCCTATCAAAGTCCCAGCATGGTATTTTGTAGATATATAAAAGATTATTTAAAATTTTACATGAAAATTCAATATTCCTTGCGTAGAAAAATAATATTGAAAAAAAATAGTAGTAGGAGTCACTGATCTTATGGTTACTATATAGTGACAGTATTCAACATTGTGGTACTGGAAAACTGATACATAGTTCTATGGAAACGAAGAAAGAATCTATAGACTGATCCACGCAAATATGTTCAATTGTTTTTTTGACAAAGCTGCAAAAACAATGGAATAGAGGAAAGATAGCTTTTTCAACAAAAAATGATAAAGCAAAAATTTAAGCCTAAAACTAAAGCTAAACTTCATAAAACTTAGTGAAAATATATTATATAGTTAAATGCAAAAAATTAAACTTTCAGCATAAGTATATAACTTAAAAACGTATACAACTTTTAGAAAAAAATAGGATTTAGACCTGATATGAAAAGAATGTTCCATGAAAAGAAACTGATAAATCAGATGCCATCAAATTTTAAAAATTCTGTTAAGAAGACAAAAGAATAAAATATTTATTAGTAACATATATGACAAAAAAAATAGTACATATCTGGAAAAAACACTCAAAATATAAAAACAAACAATTCAATGAAAAAATAAACAAAAACATGGGTAGATAGTTCCGCAAAGAAGATGTACTGACAGCAAACAAGCATATGCTGGGATCAACCATCACCACTCATGGAAGCAGCAGTCAAGAAATCAAATGATGTATTGCATTAGGCAAATCTGATGCACAAGGCAGCTTTAAAAGTATTGAACAACAAAGATGCTAGTCTGAGGACTAAGGTGCACCTGACCCAAGCCATGGTATTTTCAGTAACCTCATATGCACATGAAAGTTGGACAGTTTATAAAGAAGACCGTAGAAAAACTGATATATTTGAATTATGGTGCCGGAGGAGAATATTGAAACTACCATTGTTGTTGTTGTTGTTATGTGCCATGGAGTCGGTTCCGACTCATAGAGACCCTGTACAGGGTTTCTGAGGCTGGTAATCTTTACGGGAGCAGAAAGCCTCATCTTTCTCCGGCGGAACAGCTGGTAGTTTTGAACTGCTGACCTTGCGGCTCACAGCCCGATTCGTAACCACTACACTACCAGAGCTCCTGAACTACCATAGACTGCCAAAAAAACCAACAGATTGTGTTGGAAGAAGTACAGCCAGATTGCTCCTCGGAGGCCAGGATGGCCAGACTTTGTCTCTCATACTTTGGACATACTGTCAAGAAGGACCAGTGCCTGAAGAAGGATATCATGTTTGAGAAAGTGGAGTGTCACAGATAAAGAAGAAGACCCTCCATGAAACTGATTGGCAGTAGTGGCCATGATGGGCTCAGGTGTAGCAACGATTGTGAGGTTGGCACAAGACCAGGCAGTGTTTCGTTCTGTAGAGCATAGAGTCATATAGGTTGGTACTGACTCGATGGCACTTAACAACTATAACAACACCTACAGATTACATAAAATTTATTAATTACTTAAGATAAAAACTTTCCATTAAGCTAACGCAAAAACTGAAAACAAGACAACTTAACGCTTAGAATAATAATGGCAAAAGTATTTTGTTATTATTATAATCATATGTAAAAACACAACATTGTCTGGGATATAATATGTCTTCAGTAACATTAGCTATAATTATAATTAGTGCAAACTAGCTCTATTGTTTATAAAAATCAAATTTCAGAGTTTATTCGTCATAAGCTTGATATATGAACTAACAGATGGAGAAATCTAATTTAATAAAGTTGAAATATGAAAAACTAAAATTGGGTTCAAGATTTAAACACACTATTTGCCTCATAATATTAATATAATTCCTCATAAGTATTTTAGGATAACAAAAATGGTCATGAAACCACTGATAATTTTGCTGTTTCCTTTCCATTTCTGATGTGAAGACCATGTGTATTCATTCCTTTATTTCTAGTACAACAAATTACCACAAACATGATTCCTACACCCCCTGCTTTCATGTGACTTAAATTTATCTGTGCACATGATACTATTTCCTTGAGGATAAAGCTGTTGCCCTATTAACCATTCTGTGTCCTTACTACTAACACTGTACAGAGCAATTAAAAAACAAAAAACAAAAAAAACATAGACAGACAGACATAAATATGAGGGGGGGATTAAAAATTTTGTTGAAAAATATTTTTTCTACAAAATTTAGAAGTCCTTCATATATAAATATATGTGTGTATGTAAATATCGCTGCTACATGCCATCCACTAGGTTCTGACTGATAGCAAACCCTGTATAGAATTCCCAAGGAGTGGCTGGTGGGTCTGAATCATTGACTTTCTAGTTAGCTTATCCTACAGCACCATACCAGAACGCCACATATATATTTATGTTGTTGCTGCTAAGTGAGTGGGTTCCAATTCATAACAATCCTGCATAGGGTTTCCAAAGAGCAGCTGGTGGGTTTGAACTCCTGACCTTGAGGTTAGGTGTCAAGTGCTCATCCTGCAGCACCACACTAGGATTGCTGTTGTTAAATTCCACTGACTCATAATAACCCTGTATAAAGTTAACGAAGAACAGCTAGTGAATTTGAACCACAGACTTGAGGTTCAAACTGACCTTGTGATATAGTGCTTATGCTATAGTGCCATACCAGGGCTCTGGGACCTCATATATAGACATATAGACAGAAAGAGAGAAAACAGTCTCTTTAGATCAATTTGTTAACAATTCATAAATATATATAAACATTAAGAAATTATAAAGTAATAAATGCACTTCTTACCATACACAAGATATTTTAGTTGAAGATTTTTAACAACTTCTTCCACAGTAGGTTTATACTCAAGAAAACATGTATAAACTCCACTCATAGCCTCCTCAAAGTTCTGGAATACAAGGCTTCCTGTTGATGTTACTTGTATAGTGCTGTTTTCTAATAAAAGAATAAGATACAGTTCTTCATTGATTAAATTACATGAGACTGAAAAAAACTACCACAGTAAAAAAAAAAAAAAGTTCTAAGCAGAGTAAAACCATTAAAATTTACTTACAGAATCACTGAAAGAAGTTGGGGCATACCTAGTCCATTGAGCTTGGTGCTTGCTAACAGTGGGTGCCAGCCAATATGCCCTTCTTAGTATCACTAACTGAAGTTCATCAATTGCATGTTTGCCTAGGTGGTTAAGATACTAGTAATTCAATACACATAAAATGCTCATAATCTGTTTACTGCTTGATTCACAAAATA